AGAGGTGGTAAGAAGGTAAAAGCTAAGCTGACATGCTTTAACTGTAATAAAAAATGACATTTCACTCTGGATTGCCCTGAGCAGAAGAAGGTACTCCCTTACTTAATTTCTCGTATTAAATACTTTGTTTCTAGTCAAGCATAAATTGCTTATCCTTCTCATTTTTGGTTATAAATTCAAGAGCAACAGACCACATCGTAAAGAACAGAGTAAGGTTCATTGAGTATCATCGAGTACCTGCTAGGAGCATAAAAGTTTACATGGGGAACGAGTCCAATATGGAGGTGCTTGGCATTGGCACATACAAGCTGGAAATGCGACGAGGGCACACCTTGTATCTTCATGATGTTCTTTATGCTCCGGATATTCAGCGAAACTTAGTTTCAGTTATTAGCATGATAAGCCTTGGTTTTAGCTTTTGTTTTGAGAATAATGGTGTTAGCATTTATTTGGGAACAATTTTTTGTGGTTTTGGTTATCTTTTAGATGGTTTCCTAGTTTTGGATGTAGATGATTCTAGTTTTAATAAAAATGCCAATAGCTCTGTTTCTTACATTGCATCTATTTGTGATAATGATTCTATGAGATGGCATGTTAGATTAGGCCACATAGGGCAAGATAGGACAACTAGATTAGCTAGAGAAGGCCTTTTAGGCCCACTCGGTAGAGTCACTTTGCCTACTTTTGAGCACTGTCTTGCTAGAAAGGCAACAAGGAAACCATTTGGGAAAGCCAAAAGGGCATCTATCCCATTACAGCTTATTCATTCTAATATATATGGACCAATGAATGTGAGGGCAAGGCATGAAGCCCCTTATTTTATCACATTTATAGATGACTGCACGCGCTTTGGCCATGTCTATTTGATTTCTCACAAGTCAGAAGCATTGGATTGTTTTAGATAGTATGTTAATGAGGTTAAGAATCAATTAGACAAGAGCATTAAGGCTCTAAGGACTGACTGAGGACGCGAATATCTATCTAAGCAATTTAAAGTGCCCTGCAAGAAAAAAGGGATTATCAGGCAATTAACAATTCCTGGGACTCCGCAGCAAAATGGTGTAGCGGAGAGAAGGAATCGCACATTGCTTGACATGGTTAGATCTATGATGGCGCAAGTTAATCTTCCCATTTCTTATTAGGGAGATGCCTTGTTGACTGCTGTCTACATCTTTAATCGTGTGCCCTCCAAAGCAGTTCCTTCCATCTCATATGAGATGTGGACGAGCAAAAAACTTGATATGGGCAATTTTCAGCCTCGAGGTTCAGCAACTTACATACACAACGCTTCTCATAAGTTTAGGAAGTTAGGCCCTAGAGGAAAGAAGTGTATCTTCATTCGCCATAGTGAGCATTCTAAGGGCTATGTGTTTATTGGAGAGCATCTAGATGGAAGTGTGACTGAAATTGAGTCACGAGACGTGAATTTCCTAGAGGAGGATTTCCCTAGCAAAGGTGAGGTAACTAGAGATGTAGAGTTCTATGAGATGAAGGATCTACATTAAGGCACACCTAGTAACCTAGTAGAGAATGAAGAAATAATCCCTCAAACTCCTAGGGACAGTAGGAACGATTTACCTACCCATGAATTAGATCCAATGGATAAGGATTCTCAGCACTCTCAACTGCGTAGAAGCAAGCGTGGAGCTATACCCCACCGTCGTTTTGAGATTGACGGGGAAAAATTCATGATTACTCTAAGTGATGAGATGAAGCCTAAGAATCTCAAAGTGGTTCCACTACTAAAATTTCAGCTTTTTGCGACAGTAAAATGCCGTCGCTAATACTCTTAATGCCGTCGCAAAAACTTTTTGCGACGGTAAATGACTTTTTGAAACGGCAAAAGGGGGGTCACAACTGGGGGGGTTGCAAAAGAGTTTTTACGACGGCACTTTGCAGTCACTAATAATGTTTGAAATTTCTTGACTTTTTGCGACGGTACTATTTTACCGTCGGTAAAAATGTTATTTGAGACGGCAAAAAATGTCGTCGCTAATAGTCTTTTTTTTTGCAACAGTAAGAACACTTTTTTGCGACGGCACACCGTCGCAAAAAGTATTAAAAATATGAAAAATTTCTATTTTTTTGCGACAGTGTACTACCGTCGCAAAAAGTACTAAAAAAATAATAAAATTTCTATTTTAAATAATAAAATTTTTATTTTTTGCGACAGTTTAATGTCGTCGCAAAAAGTTAAACCTATAACAAAATCAATAAAAATAATAAAATTTTCTGTTTTTTGCGACGACATAGTACCGTCACAAAAAAGAAAAAAAAAATCCTCTAATAAAATTATTAAACATATTAAAATTTCTCCATAATAATTGCATAATAATATAAAAATTCCTGTATAAAAATAACAATTTCTTCATAATAAAATATTCTTCCATTCATAATTACACATCAACAAAATTATCCCACTACATAATGTTCCATTATACATATATAATGTTTAAATACATGATTTTGTTCATAATTCAAAATAACATAAACCAAAATTAAATGTTTTTCTCATCATTCTTCGTAGATAACAAAAATAAAAGTTAGCCACATTCTCCACAGGTTTGATACGGATGATACTTAATCTCGAGGGGTTAGTTTAGTGGCTTGGACTTGGAGTTTAGGGTTTACTTTTTTTAGTTCTTAAGTTTGATTTCTCTAATCAATATAAAACGTTTGTGGTCTCATCAAATACAATATTTTTTTTGTTAGTCATCAAATCCCACATGGATAATTAAACATCTCAATCAAATACAAAAATAAAAATTTTACTATAGCATCAAATACAAAAAAAAATTATAAATTTTAATACTATAACAAAAACTAATCACCCTGTTTGATTCTTAATTTCTAACTTCAATTTTAAAAAAAATTTAAAACTTTTATTTGGTTATCTAAAAAATTAGAAAAAAAAAATCAAAATTCAATTTTTTGGATGAAGTTGGGAAATAAATAAATATTCTCTATTTGACATAAAGTGATTAGATGAATAGAATAAATACTAACGATTCTATTTGTCTTAACAGACTGTCAATTGTTTTGCTTATTACATCTTCATCAAACCAAACTTATTTCCATTCGGTTGTTATGATAAGATTCTGTACTACTTTTGATGAGAGTTTTTTTTTTTTTGTTTTTTGGATTAAGCTTCATTATTTACATTGCCCAAAATCCAATATAAAAGAAATTTTGAATTTCACTTGCAAAATTCAAAAAAGTAAAATTAAACAATAGTCACCTCTCAAAAAATACTTGTTTTTTATTTTCCAAGCTAAACAAATTTAAATGGAAAAATGAATTTAATGTGCAATGAGATGGATGGAAGGATTACGTTTCAGCAAAAAATCAAATAGTTTAATTCTGGAACTGAAAGCTTCGTTGAGGACGAAAAACAAAGTGATGATCTCCCAACTCTCAGCATAAGATGTGTTTAATTTGGTGAACCAGTAAAGCTAGAAACAAAACTACAAAAAAATAAAAGTAAAATTTTGGAGCATGCAGAGCAAGCGCATACCATTTGAGCTACATTCCCACTTGCCAATCATAAGTTTCATATGTTATCTTTCTTTGGTAATCTGAAAGTTTCTAATGACTGTCTCTGAATGGTATGTTAATTGATCAACATTTTTAAAGAAATTAATTGTTTTATAAAACATCTTAGCACCAAGTAATAATCTCATCTTCCAAAGATACCATAGTGAAAACATGTCCAATTAACAACAAAGGTTCTATATCCTCAAATAAATGAATAACTTGATTGAATACACAACTATATATTATTTTATAAAACAATTAATTTCTTTAAAAATGTTGATCAATTAACATACCATTCAGAGACAGTCATTAAATTTGTGCAGACATAAAATTTACAATAATACAAATTTTATTGATCATGAATTCCAAATTTATGCATATCTCAAATCAACAATACTAAAAATCCAAAATTTACCTAAAAAATTAATAACTCAAATTTATTTTATATATAAACCTTACACTTCATCAATTCAATTTATACCACACAAACACATTCAAAATCCAATCACAACCAAATACCAAGATAATGTAGAAAACGTCAGGTCACAACCAAATCCTACTTGGGTCGTCTCTCAAGTCACAATCAAAAATACCCAAAATGATGATTCTTTAGAACAATTTTGTATCTGCCTTGGTTCCTTGCCCATATGATTTGATTTAAAAAGAGTATACCAAACAACACATTTTTTACCCCTTTTGTTTAGAATATTATAAAAAATAATGTTAAGTAATATTTAATTTTTTTTATAAAATTTATAGTACGTGAATATATACCAACATATGAATTTTGTGGAACCATCTTGAAAGGGAGGGGAGGGGAAGAATAAAAGAAAACAATAAAGAATTTTTTAAAAAAAAATAACAATACAAAGGAAGTTCTTCAATAATTGTAATTTATCAAATTAAATTAAGTCTTGAAAGAACTTAAAATAAGTAATCAAAAACCTTACAAAGTTCAATGAATAAAATAAGAAAAAAAAAATCATAAATAGCAAAGTTGGTGAAAAAAAATAAAAAAATAAAAATAAAATAAATAACGAAGTGAATTTGAAATGCTTGTTTGAAATGCAAGGTTTAAAGTGATGTTTCATGGAACCAAAACTTTGGTATCATGTTTTTTTGGGTGAAACTTTGATATCATGTTAAGAAAGTATATTAAACTCTTGCTTGTTTCATGTTTATTGTGCAACTAACATAATTTTTTTTTAATAATCATGTCAATGCCAAAATGCTCAATACATAGGAACACTACTGGGAATGGTCTTAACTCATGCACTAGTCAATCCTGTTGGCTCTTCATCTTAATTATGAACTGATAAAAAAAAATTCTAAACTTATTTATTTAAACCTTGATGATATACACTGCTTTATAGTGGACATCAAATACGGTATGTTCTTGAGATCAAAACTGTAGACAAAGGATAATACTAAAATTCTTTTGTAACATACTTTGGTTTTTGCTCTCTCTCTCTCTCTCTCTCTCTCTCTCTCAATTTTTTTTCCCTCCCCGTGTACTAAATCTTTACAGTCGATGTGCTTCCTTTATGGTAAATGACTTTGTTTCATTTTGGATTAAGAGACATTCTTCTGTTGGTTTGCTAGATAAAATACATGATGCATTCTGTCTTATAATTCCTGATGAATTAGGCCACCAACTTCCTATTGCAGTCCCTATTTCAGATTAATCTATGCATACAAAGTTTCTACTTCTGAGTTTGGGTCCTGAAACTGTCTAATATTTTTGTTTCTTTTCGTAAGTAGAAGGTTAATATACTAAACAATAAAGATATACAATGATGCACAAGACATCCTCAGGAGTCACATGATGAAAAATGCATTAGGCAACAAATCTCTTCATAGAATCATACAAAAGAAAACATAACAAACCAAAAGAAACTCTCTCACAACCCTGAGGCTATGTCAAAATTTAAAAGGCTTAAAAGACATACAAGACTCCTAAAAACTGAGGCCTCAAACTTTATTGTCTAATATATTAACTTTATTGTCTAAGATGAATATGCAGTGTTGCTATTTTGAGCACTTATCTGTAAATAAATAAATAAATAAATATGCAATTTTAGAATTACTGATTTTGCAGAACAAAATTGCATTGCTTTGACCCATAACTTCACATCTTACTTATCTTGAGTTTTAGTCTACTAAAGTGACTTCTGTGACTGCTACAAACTTCTGTCCACCTAACCCTTCTCAATCTAATGACAATGGTAGGTGGTGCAACTCATAATTGACGTTCCTAATATTTAGTGCATTATGGTAAATCTGTGAGAAGTCACGTATTGGGAAAAATGCCAAAGCATGATGGTATATATAAGCTAATGCATTATGCAGTCAAACTTACCTCCCTTTGTAGAGCCTCATCAAGCTCTTGCTTATCATCAGGAGTGATATCTTTGGCGTATAATTGGGTTAAACAATTACGAATCCTGACCGAAAAAAATAAGGGATTGATCAAAGCAAATAAAAAACAATTCATAACATCAAAGATTATAACACGTTGACAACACAAATGAAAGATTACAAACTATTTAATGACAAACCTTCTGTGCTTTTGAAGCAAAGATTTGCGGACAGATTGAGTAGGGTGAGCAGTGAAGACCAGATCAACAGTTTGATTTTTCATAGCATCAAAAACTTCTTCAGGAGATTTCTTCAGTTCCCCCACAAGTCTCTTGAGAGTTTCTTCAATGTCTGATTCAGTCATTGTCGAGTTCTCATCAGCAAAATCCCCCTTTTTCAACTTGATTCGTCGATGGCAAGCAATCTGAACCTCCTGAGCGAGGTTAGCCAAGTTAAGCATGTGAGGGAATGACTTGGCAATGACAATAGAGTCATCGTCGATCGAGAGAGAAAGGGGTAAGAAGAGATTAGGGATTTTTGGTTTTGGGCAGGGGGGGTTTGAGATTGGGGATTTTTTGTTTGGGTTGGGGAGGCGGGGGTACAGAACAGGAATGCAGCTGCCCTACTCTATTTAATTGATTCAAGCTTTGATTAGTTCATTTGTTGTAGCATTGGTCTTTGTACATAGCTTGTATTAGCCTTTCTTGGTCTGACTTTCATAGTAATAACCTCGTTTTAAGAATCAACTTGTCACTTCGTTGAATCCATAGGATTTTGTGTTTATTTAATGGTGTTTACCAGAGTAAAGGGATCTAAAGGCTTCTACACATGCTTTTCAAGTTGAAGCGAAAGTATTCTCTAACCCCATTGGTAAGATTTGGTTTTTTGTACAGAACAGGAATGGAAAAAAAAAAAAGGGAATGGAAAAAAAAGGGGGGGGAACAAAACGGGGAATGAAAAAAATAATAAAAATTTCGGTCCCAAATGAAATTTAAACAACAAACTTAAATAACGTGGTTTAACTCTCTTTTTATTTTTTTATTTTTTTTGTAGTTAATGAATTTTTTTATAAAAAAAATCATTTATTTTTTTAGTTATTAAGATTGAAAATTTATTTGTTTTATTTTTATTTTAATGAAAAAAAAATTATTATTATTTTTTATTTGGTAGAAGTAGAGGTAATATTTTGTGGTAGAGGAGAAGGAGCGGCAGTAGTGGTGAAGGTGGTGGATAAGAGATGATGGTGGTGGTGGTGGTGGTGGTGGTGGTGGTGGTGGTGGCGAATGAGATTAGTGGTGAAGTTGTGGTAGTGGTAGAGTAGATGGAGTGACAGGGGTGAAGGAGAGGTAATGGTAGTAGTAGTAGTAGTCGTGGCAATAGTGGTAGTGGAGTGGTGGCGATGGTCGTAGTAATGGTAGTCGTAAAGGTGAAGTGGCAACCGTGGTAGTAGTGGTGGTAGTGAAATGGCATTTGTAGTAGTGGTGAAGGTGGTAGAGGAGATGGGTGGTGAGAGAGAGAGATAAGTGAGAGACAGATAGAGGAGAGAAAGAGAGAGAGAGAGAGAGAGAGAGAGTAGTGAGCGAGAGAGAGACAAAGTGGTCGCTAAAAGTATATTTTCTTGTAGTGGATCGATAAATCGAGAGGGAGCTCAGTAAATAGAGAAGACGGAAGGGAGAGAGTGAGCAACACGAACACAGTGGGGGAGAGAGAGAGAGAGAGAAAGAGATAGAGAGTGAAAGACAAAAAAAAAGACAGACAGAAAGAGAAGAGAGATGAACGAGAGAGACAGAGAGAGAGATAGAGAGAAGAGAGATAAGCGAGAGAGACATAGAGAGAAAAGAGATGAACAAGAGAGACAAAGAGAAGAGAGATGAGCGAGAGAGAGGTGAGAGAGATAGAGAGAAGAGAGATGGGTGAGAGAGATAGAGAGAAGAGAGATGAGCGAAAGAGACAAAAAGAGAAAAGGGATGAGAGAAGAGATAGATGAATGAGAGAGATAGAGAGAAGAGTGATGAGTGAGAGAGAGGAAGAAAAGTGAGAGAGAAAGATGAAAAAATGAGTGAAAAGATATAGACAAAGAGAGAAAGACACAGAGAGAGAGAGAAAGAGAAAAAAAAGAGCGAAAAGAGATAAACGAGAGAGAGACAGAAAGAGATGAGCGAGAGAGCGAGAGAGAAAAAAATAAGAAAGAGAGAAGAGAGACAGAGAGAGAAGATAAATGAAAGAGATAGAGAGATGGACGAGAGACACAGAGAAAAAGAGAGAGAGAGAGAGACAAACAGACAGACAGAGAAGAGTGATAAGTGAGAGAGAGAAAGAGAATAGAGACAGAGACACAGAGAGAAAGAGAGAGACAGACAGACAGAGAAGAGTGATGAGTGAGAGAGAGAGAGAGAAGAGGGATAGAGACACATAGAGAAAGGGAGAGACAGACAGACAGAGAAGAGTGATGAGTAAGAGAGAGAAAGAGAAAAGAGACAGAGACAGAGAGATAGGAAGATGAAAAAATTGGTGAAAAGAGAAATGTTCAAAAGAGTAAGACGACGTCGTTTTTTTTTTTTAATTTTTTTTTTTGTGATAGAAAAATACCGTTGCATTTATTTAAACCATTTTGTAACTATATATATATGAAGCCATCTCAAAGCCACAATATATATATATATTTTATTTTTTTTTTTTTTTTGCAACGGTACCTATTACAGTCGCAAAATTTTTTTTTTTTTGGCGACTGCAGCTGGTACTGTCGCAAATACTCTATTTTTTTTTTTGCGACATCATTTTATGCCGTCGCAAATACTCTATTTTTTGCGACAGCAAGTTGTGCCGTCTCAAAAAGTCACATTTTTTTGCGACAACAAGTTGTGCCGTCTCAAAAAGTCATATTTTTTGCGACGGCAAATGCGCCGTTGCAAAAAATTCCGTCTCTTAAGCCCAGTTTTCTTGTAGTGTTCTCTCATCCCCTGCTAGTAAAGAATAGAGTGCTACAATGGATGAAGAAAGAGTTTATGAAGAAAAACCATGTCTGGGACTTGGTTGATTTGCCGCCAGGGCGCAAGACTATTGGGAACAAATGGGTTCTCAAAATCAAGCCCAAGGCGGATGGTTCCATAGAAAGGTATAAGGCTCGCCTAGTGGCGAAAGACTACACCCAATTAGAGGGTGTGGACTATGAGGAAACATTTTCACCAGTTGTGAGGTTTGCCTCTATTCGCGTAATTATGGCCATAATAGCTCAGTTGGACTTAGAGCTATATCAGATGGACGTTAAGACTGCATTTCTCAATAGAGAATTGGATGAAAAGATTTATATGGATCAACCAGAAGGCTTTGTGGCAGTAGGTCAGGAGCGCAAAGTTTGCAAGCTTCAATGTTCTATTTATGGCTTAAAGCAATCATCCAGACAGTGGAATCTGAGATTTCATCGAGCCATTATTTCTAATGCATTTACAATGATCGATGAAGATCACTGTGTGTACGTTAAGCAGTCCAAGGACATTTTTCTAATATTGTCGTTATATGTGGATGACATATTATTGGCTGAAAATGACAAGGAAATAATTGTCGCCACTAAAAAGTAGTTGTTCTCTACATTTGAGATGAAAGACATGGGTGAAGCGAGCTATGTGTTCGGTGTTAAGATCCTTAGGGATCGCTCTAGGAGACTTCTCGATTTATCTCAAGAGACTTACATTAAGACTATTCTAGAGCAATTCCAGATGCAGAGCTGCAAACCCATTGACACTCCTGTTGCGAGAGGCGAGAGCCTAAGCCTTGATATGGGTCCTAAGACTCCAGAAGAGAAAGAAAAGATGGCCCGTGTACCCTACGCGAATGTTGTTGGGAGCTTGATGTATGCTATGATGTGTACACGCCCTAACATTTGTTCTGCAGTCGGATTGGTGAGTCGTTACCAATCCAACCCAGGACCAACTCATTGGAAAGCAGTTAAGAGGATATTACTATATCTTAGAAGGACTACAGACTACACACTTTGCTACCAAAGTTTTGATCTACATCTAGTTGGCTATTGTGATACTGACTAGGGAGGAGACTTAGATGAGCGTAAGTCCACTTCAAGATATGCTTTCATGCTTAGCGGTGGTGCTATTTCTTGAAGCAGTAAGAAGCAATCTTGTATCGCCTTATTGACAATGGAGGCTGAGTTTGTGGCTTGTTCATCTACCGTTCAGGAAGCCATTTGGTTAAGGAGATTCCTTCAGCATTTGGATATTATCACACATACTTCAGACCCTATGACTATCTATTATGATAGCATGGCTGCACTCACTGACACTAAGGATCCTAAGTACCATGGGAGAACGAAACACATTGATGTGAGTTCAACTTTATCAGAGACATTGTGGCACAGAAAGAAATGATCTTGGAGCACATCTCTATGAGTCGCATGGTTGCGGACCCTTTGACTAAACCCATTGCTAGAGATGTTTATCCTACTCATGTTAGGGCTTTAGGACTACGTAGGTGGTGATATATGTGTATTCAGTTGAACTCTTATTTTTTTGGGGATATTTATGCCATTAGTATTCATATTTTTTCTATTACACATTTATGTTTACTATTTTTTGCAATGGTTTGTGAATTAGCACACACAGAATAAATAAATTTGATGTTAGCAGGCAAGATTGGCTCACTCACACGAGTAATCGCCCTTAGCTCTAGGTAGCGAGCAAGGATGAGACTAGTGGCTTATTGTATTTGGAGCCAAGAGTGAGGCTAAAATTATCCACTAGCTATGTTGCCTTGGTTGGAGCCAAGATGAGGTCTTGTTAAAGTCCTACCATGGATATGAGAATACCCACTTTTCCATGATGTGCCTGTTATGGATAGCCAAATGCGAGAGGCAAGCAACTAGAGAATTTGAGTTAGACGCTAGAAAACGACTTATGTGCTTAAGAGCGACTGGACTAAGATCTGTATAGTGTGTGAGTTTAACATCACTCTTTGGAAGAGTTATTCCACTATAGCATGCATTCGTACTGCATATGCTTATCGATCCGTTAGCGAGGTGAGAGAATGGATTCCTGCTTCCACACCGTGTAAGTCCTAAAAGTCATTTTACCAATGACTTCACTTTATGCCATTTGTGACCTTTGACTATGTCATAAGATAAGGAGTTAATGTTCGACTACTTTGGTATGTTGTCTGCGGTCACGTATGTTTCGGCTTTAAGGGACATTACTGGGAAAGCGGTCAATTCCAAGTTAAATGATATGAGGGTAAAGGGAAGATCATCTAGTTTTACGTCTCTGCTCTATATTCACTGTTGACAACTCACATCGCTCTGTATGGGATGCTGATTGGGTATGAATACAATGCGGGACCTAGGAGGGTCCAACATGCTCTTTGAGGGATTAGAGATGTTCTGGACTGATGTAACTAAATGGGTCTGGGTATATGAGACACAATTTCTATTCTTTTTGGGTTGATGTCTCTATGCTGGCTCATATTGAGTTTCTAGTATATAGCTCCCACATACAGGTGTTCTCAGCGGTCACACGGTTCATTGGCTAGTATGAGATTGTTCAATATTTTGAGAGATTGAGATAGAGATATGGCAATGTCATGCTAACTCATGTGCAAGTGGGAGATGTTGGAA